TTTACGTGTAAGCTAAACAAGCTATAGCTTAGGGCCCCACTTTCTTGGGGTGCCCAAAAAATTGAAAGAAAGAACAACCGGATGTATATTTCCAAAATATAAGATAAAAAACAAATAAAATAAAACCTACATACAGCAACAGTGTTTTGTGTTGTGTAGGCTCCTATTTTGTTATGTTCAAATGGCTTGAGATACCTACAAGCTCCATAAATTACCATATATCATGTATTCATCACAAAAAGCAGGGATAGTTTGTTGTGGACAAAGGACAGCTGGACATAGAAAGGGTCCCATTACCTTCAGGAGCTGAAGGCCTCATTAAACCTAAATCCGGCCCTGCATTAACTGATCAACGTTTTACAAAGACAGAAGCAGGGATCAAATAAGTGCATTCAACAATACCTATGCTTTGATATAACTAGACGGTATGGGTTCTGACCTAGTCTCATATGGCATTTCCCCCAAGAAAACCTATTAAATTGGGGCTAGAAGACACTGCCATCAACTGGCTGAAAATAAAATTGTTCCGAAAGAAAGGTTCTAATTGATGGAGCTGCGACAGATCACATCTGTATGAAACGTTCAAAGTACCGTACCACTTTAGGAAGTCAGGTCTTCCACAAATCCTGGAAATTGTGGTTTATTAGGGGTGGTACTGAGAGCGCTTGGGAGAGCCCTATTTCCCTCGCAGAGCTCCCCTTCTCGGAGTGATTTAATAATCAATACCTCTTCCCAGGGAACTCTGGGAAATGTAGACCTGCGAGGGGAAAATGGTTTCCCCCACAATTCACAGCACTTTGAGCACTTTATTTATTTCATAACATTTTTACAATGTTTGATTGTGGGGGAAGGGGAGCATCCAAGCAGTTTACAAAAATGCCCCTCTGTGCGAGGAACAGGGGTCTCCTAACAACTCTCAGCACCTGTGACAAGCTACAATTTCCAGGTTTCTTTGGGGGAAACCATGACAGTTAAAGTGGAATAACGGTGTCTTAAATGCATGGTGTGGCCTCAGTTTCATGGAAACTCTTCTGTTTGCAAAATAAATGATTCCGATTTCCAAAGAGCTCCAGCAGATCGAAAAAGGTTGTGTTTGTCCAGCAATTTGTTTATTAATGACTTGTGATTAAGACATTTGGGGTGGGGTCTGAACCGCAAGCAACGGTCAGATCAGGTAGCAGAGACAGAATTGGTGCAGCTCATCTCTGACAAAAATAAAAATAAATTAAGATAGCAAACCAATAAGAGCAAACTGTGGAGCAGTTCTATAAGTCCAGGAATGCAGATTCTGTCCTGAAATATGTGGAAGAAATAAAATAAGGACTAAATGCCCCTTTCTGTTTTGATTTTGTTTGGACCTACATTTTGCTTGGGAAGAGAAGGAAATATTGTGAAATGTCTGAAAAAGCTAATATGCTGCTGAATATGGAATCTGGACAATCTTTCCTGTTTGTGTTTGAATGACTAGTGCTCTATTAGCCACTATTTTCATATTAGTCTATTTTACCAGTGCAATTTCACAAGAAAAAGAGGAGCAGGAACTCACAATGAATGCCTCCCTTGTTTTCGTAGACTGGCAATGGCGCCCATCGGAACTCGGGTCCAATGAGTTCTGGCTGAGGGGGAAAATCCCTGCATTTTACTATTTTCATGAATTGTTGGTAAATCCAGCTCCCACCTTTTAAGAAGAGCAACCCCAAGCATGTTTCCCTGGAAATACTTAAGTCCTTCTGAATTCTACGGGATTTACTTCTGCAGTAAATGTGCTTAAAACAGAAACTCAGAAAAACAAAGCTCAGGTTTACTTCAGCTCTAATTTATTGTTGGGCATGAATGCTGATTGAGCATATTCTGAAATCCAGCCATGTTCTACTATTTCTGGAGGGAAGCCAAGGTATTTATTTTATGTACGGTATAATCTTACATTGATAAAGCAATCTATAAGAAACGTTTCCCAATAACTGCTTACATTCGTGTTACAAAGTTGTTAGCCATTCGTGTACTACTAGTGAACGTCCACTAGTTCAGAGAAAACATTAAAATCGAATTATTTCCTCTGAAATATACTCAGAGTCGCAAAGTGATTTCATGCTCTTTATTCAGCTCATAGTGGTGAGGAGGAATGAATAGAAGTCCCCTCACAGTATCTGCTTTATATACATTATTTACACAATGGGCTGCACATGATTGGCTAATTCCGGAATTCTACTGTAAGCCAATCAGGTTGTGGATTCACTTCTATCTGGAGCAGGATTGGGTGATTCCTGCCAACCAATCATACTGCTGCATTGTTCTAGGACCAATCAAACTGCTGCATTTTGGATCCTATTGTTCTAGGACCAATCAGACTGCTGCATTTTGGATCCTATTGTTCTAGGACCAATCAGACTGCTGCAGTTTGGATCCTATTCAACTCAGTACATAACACCCTCCCTGGGGGGGTGGAAGCTAGTTATTTAATCCCTGTAGCATATGCTGGATGGTTTGGTGCACTTTCGTCAAATTGCCACCTGAATTAAGTCATTATTGGGAAATTCGTACAGTAAATATGCATCTCAGCACTCTCAGAAAAAGGGTAATGCACTGTTTGTTTACTATTGCCTAGAAAGTACTAATCTTGAGGCCCCCCCAAAAAAAATTGAAGGGAAAAAAACCTGGATGTACATTTTAAAAATATAAGATAAAAAACAAATAAAATAAAAACCTACATCCAGCAACAGTGTTTTGTGTTGTGCAGGCTCCTATGATGTAAGTCATGGGCCCCACCTGCTAGCCTGCTCCCTAAAATATCCCTGGATTGCTCCTTTCTATATATAGGGTGCCTACATTCTGCATGGACTGGTTGCATGGCCACATGGGCAAATGGCTTGAGATACCTATGAGGTCCATAAATTACCATATAGCATATATTCAACACAAAAAACAGCGACAATTTGTTGTGGACAAAGGACAGCTGGACATATCAAGGGCCCCATTACCTTCAGGAGCTTAGGGCCTCATCAAACCTAAATCCAGCCCTGCTTTGGGATGATGGGAACTGGAGTCCAACGACACTGCCCACCCAGGTGTTGCATCAGGAAAGGCAATGGCAGCACAACCAGGAAATTGCAGCACAAGTTATACAGGCTGGCACTGTGTTTGTGCTTGAAATTAGAAAATCACCACCAAAGATGAGAAGGCCTTGTAGGAAACCTGGGGATATGATGGTTTGGTAGCAACGTCATTTGAATTCCCCTAATGAAAAGAGGGGGACGTGGGTGGCGCTGTGGGTTAAACCACAGAGCCTAGGACTTGCTGATCAGAAGGTCGGCGGTTTGAATCCCCACCACGGAGTGAGCTCCCGTTGCTTAGTCCCTGCTCCTGCCAACCTAGCAGTTTGAAAGCACGTCAAAATGTAGATAAATAGGTACCGCTCTGGCGGGAAGGTAAACTGCGTTTCCGTGCCCTGCTCTGGTTCACCAGAAGCGGCTTAGTCCTGCTGGCCACATGACCCGTAAGCTGTACGCCGGCTCCCTCGGCCAATAAAGCGATATGAGCGCCGCAACCCCAGAGTTGGTCACGACTGGACCTAATGGTCAGGGGTCCCTTTACCTTTAATGAAAAGAGGCTGGCAATTTTGAAGGCAATTGCTTGTGTGGAAGAAACTCAATTTCCTAAGAGCCCAGAAAAACATCGGTTGGGGAGCTGCCCTAATTCAATCACATCTCACTCACAGAGGCAACAAGGGCAAATATCATCTCCAAAACTTGTACCCAACTTAGGGTGAGTAGCTGGTAATTCTGGCTAGGCGTTGAACTATCACTAATACAAACTGAAGGGGATGAGAGGAAGAGAAATGGGATTAGTGGTACAGTGGCGCTCGGGTTGCGAACGTGATCTGTGCGGGAGGGACGTTTGCAACCCGCAGCGCCGCATCTGCGCACATGTGGGTTGCGATTTAGCGCTTCTGCGCATGCGCAACCGCCGAAATCCGGAAGTAACCCGTTCTGGTACTTCTGGGTTTCGGCACATCCGTAACCTGAAAAAACGCAACCTGAAGTGTCTGTAACCTGTGGTATGACTGTACGTGGTTTGACAGCCATGGACAGGAAGACCCTACAGAGGGTGGCGAATACAGCACATGACATCATGGGCTGTCCCCAGAGTTCGCTAGATGACATTGCGGGAGACGCTGCCTCAGGAGAGCAAGGAAAATTCTTAGGGATGACTCACACCCTGGCCAGCACTTCGTTAATCTCCTACCTTTGGGCAGGAGATACAGAAGTATAGTCAGCAGCACCAACAGGTTAAAGAAAAAGTTTTTATCCATAGGCTGCTGGGCTGCTGAATGGGAAAAAAATAGTGGTGCAATTGACTTCTGACAAGCACATAGCGAACAAGACTGAGTGGGGGGGGGGCTCGTTTAATTTCACTGCACACAGCTGGTGTAGTGACAATAAAGGATTATTATTATTATTATTATTAGGATTGGTTTCAAGGCAGGGCTCGTTTCAGTTCATCCTAATTGTTTAAACCAATTGATGAACCAGGAACTTATACACTGACCACTAATAATGAAACATACTGTATTTTTTGCTCCATAAGATGCACCTGACCATAAGATGCACCCAGTTTTTAAAGGGGGAAAGCAAGAAAAAAATATTCTTTAAAGGGAGCGCTGAGCAGAGCCTCCCGCCTGCATTCACTCCATAAGATGCACACACATTTCCCCTTACTTTTTAGGAAGGAAAAAGTGCGTCTTATGGAGCGAAATATACGGTACATTGAGATATTTTCCCACATTTATTATGCTATTTTTGTGATATACAAATGACATGAGAAAACTTGGTATACTTATTTGTATAACATTATTCTTGTTTATAAAACTCAATAATAATAGTAATCATCATCATCACCATGACTGCTATGGCAAGGTTGATGGAGCATTTCTTAAACATTTGTACGCAATAAGCTGTCTAGGCTTTTTTCTTCCTTTTAAAAAAAGGTAAGCTTGGATTGATTCGCTAGCTCAGTCATTAGAGCCTGAAACTCTTAATCTCAGGGATGTGGGTTCAAGTTCCACATTGGGCAAAAAGATTCCTGCATCTCAGGGGGCTGGACTAGATGACCCTCATGGTCCCTCCCAATTCTATGATTCATCATTCTCTTTCTTTGTTACAAATTTCACAAGGTACAGTCTGGTGCTTTCTGTATATTTGGCACTCCCAAAGTTTCAAAACCCAAAACAGCCCATAAGGCATACATTTTGACAGGAGGGACAGTTGGAATTCCACACACACACACACACACACACACACACGCACACAATATTCCAATATAAATGAACTCTGCCAAACTGGATTTTATATCAGGACATACCTTCTTGATAATACGCTGCTTTGGGAATTATAACAGTTCAAGCAGAAAGTACTGGATTAACTCCACCATATCCACAGTGAATACTTATGTGCCCTGAATATCATTCCTGGAAATTATGGAAGTATGTAATGTATATTTTCCCTGAGTGGTTCCCCATACAGCAAGTTATAACCAATAGCATGGCAAATTGTATGAAAATAGCTCAACATGAAGCATAGCTAACAGGTCTAAGCAATATTAGTTAAATTAATAGCTAAAGGCTACATTCCCATACTTACTCCAGAGTAAGTTCTATTGAGCTCTTTTGGGGTTGCTTCTAAGAAGATTTGTATAGGATAGCATTACATATCTGTTTGAGATAACAGGCTGATTTGTTTTCCCATTGATATAATTATAGTATTAGTTTTAGGGAAGTTTTTAATGTTTTATTGTGTTTTTAATATTCTGTTGGGAGTGCCCAGATGGGCAGGGTATAAATAATATATTGTTGTTGTTGTTATTTCTATTTTTTTATTTCCAAGTAAATATCATTCTGCTTTTCAAATGTAAAGTGTTGTTGGGCTCCAACTCCCAACATCCCTGACCATCGACCATGCTGGTTGGGACAGATGGGAGTCGAGAGTCAAACAAATCTGCAGGACATCACAGTGGCTAGCCCTGTACTAACTTGTCTAAATTGTGTTACATTAAAAAAAAACCCCAAACCCCTAAACAAGAATTTGTCATTTGTGCATCAAACTCTTAGCTGATTCATCTGCATCGCTCACTGCCAGGTCAGGAGTGGAAATAGTTGCACTTCCTGCTTTATAGTATCAAAGATTTGTGCTGCAAGCATGCAACTTTCTCCTTCGGCCAACCGGAAACAGAACCAAGGCAGGAGGAACAAGCGATTTTCCTGACGCGGAAGAATCAGCCGCTGAGATGCTGAGGTGGGAGACGAACTCGTATCGGAGAAAGTCAGCTGAAAATAACCAGTCATATATAATGACAGACCCTGGAAACAAGCTGGGAAAGTCGGCCCAAAAAATCCATGTAAGAAACTAGCCATCTCATAAATGAAATAACAACTTTTGGGGGGAGATTCAGAGCAAGCAGGGAAATAAAATAGAGGGAGATGAAATATTCATCGTCTTATGTTTTTATAGACCTCCCCAACTGCTTCCATGATTTATGCCATTTATTTATTTATTTATTGCATGCAGTGAGGGGGGGAAGGGGAGATGTGCGGCGAAATAATGAAAGCTATATTAGAATGCCACCGTTGTGGTGTGGCATAGAGAGGAGAGGATGAACCAGGGCTATACAATAGCTGCAAACCCACCCCCCTGAAAATACGTACAAGTCCGTATAGGCAACCAGCCAGGGGACGGGCATTTCAGCGGAGATGGAATGAAACAGCACAGGTGAGGAATAATTGCAGAAAACGAGCATTTCTGTTTCGGCACAACAGCAATTATTCCAAGGGCTCTTTTCTGCCAGGGTGAAATCTGGATAGTAAGACAGTGTTCTGTGTGTGGTTGTGTGTGACAGATGATATATACAGCCACACACACACAAATCAGTGACTGGTAGAACATGTTTGGAGTAGCAGCTGAAATGCAACTCGTCTCTCTCCTTCACTGCACATGATCCTTCCAATCAATGCATCCTCATTCCTCTAAGAATGTGGTTTAAATATAATTCATCTATATGGAAATGCTTGCCCCTTAATCGCCTAGGTGGTTGTTCACCTTAAAGAGGGTGATTTGCCAGGAAAAGAGACGACTGCGTAACAGGGAAAAATGGCCTTGACGCTCATCTCTGGCAAGAGCTGCAACTGTTCTGTTTCCCACTGTATATTGTCACGGTCCAAACAGAAACTCAGACATGTCTGTGGAGCTCACAGATCTCCCTATAAATGGAGAAGCACAGGAGGCCAATTTGACAGCATGTGGCGGAAAAGAGCGATAGCCAAGCTCCCCTCGACTTGATTCGAGATGGTGCTTTCTTAGAGTATGTTTGGGAAATGCTCATCGGTTTGGCTGTGTGTTTGTGTGTGTTTTAGAATCCTCTCCTGGCTCTTAATATTGGCGCATGCGCATTGGTGGTGCTGTACGCATGTGCAGAATCATCCCTCCACCCCCTGGGAATTGTTGTTTGGTTTCATGGGCCCTACATGAATGCCATACCACTCAGCTTGGGAACCTCAAAACCCCTCTACCAATATAATTGTAAAAAGGCCTCAGTAGGGCTGTTGTTTCACAGGAATTTGCAAGAGGTACATTGAGAGTCAGGGGCCAGCATTAAATATTTTCCCCTGCATGCTTCTGCAAAGCAGCAGGCTTTAGGTATGCGGCCTGCTGGAAGCCGCCGATGGCACCTGCAAGAATCTCATTTTACATTCTGAGCTGGAGAATAACTTATGGGGGAAATTACGCTCAATTTGTAATACATCAGAGCATTACAAGCTAAACAAATTCATATTCCAAACCAGGTAATTACGAACCTTGGCAACAGCCCTCAGAGAAGGAGATGTGAACTTGTATAATCTCACTAACTAGGCTGTTTTGTACAGTTGAAGGGTGCCAGAAGAACGGCAACAAAATGGAAAATCTTGAGAAAGGAATAATGAAGGTGATTGCGGGTCTAGGAAATGGGTGATCGGAAGACATCACAGGGAGGATACAAGGAATTTACTATTTACCCTAAAGTTATTCAGGATAAAGAAGGAAAGTGTTTACGTTACAAGGAGAAAAAATAAATAAGTCGTCTGGGATCTTTGTTACTTCGTTCCTCCAAGTTGATACCGAAGCTTTGGGAAACTGATCTTAGATCAGTTTGGAGGGAAACTGTTTCACTTTGAAGAAATCCCAATCTATTTTGGGATTTGGGATTCACTGGAAGTGAATGCAACGGCCCCCATTTTTTACCCTGTTTTCTCTACAGGAGTTCAAACTGGCTTCCGAAGATGTTTGAGCTAAGACAGGTGTGCTTTCGTCTCCCTTTCATCAGTCAGTGAGTTGACACCCTTTGTGACGCCCTCAAAATAAAATGAAATTATTAGTCATCACTAGTCATTAGGAGGCCTGTGTCACGCACAATAACATGCTTGAGCAATGCTGTGGTTTCTGCAGCGCTTCTTGATGGAGGTTGCCAATGTTCTTTAAAAAGCAGCAAACAAATTAAGTAGGTGGGTGGTGTGAGAAAGAAAGGGGGGGGAAGGAAAGGGATTTATGGAAAGGGATGCAAATGGAGATTTAGGCATCCTGTTTGCAACAGTGTCCAACTAGAGGCCTTGGGAAACCCACAAGTTGCCCTCTTGCCCTGTATATTATTTATACGCTGCCCATCTGGCTGGGTTGCCCATATTGGAGTCAGTGTTGCCAGCACTGACCGGAAGCCACTCTCGGAGGCTTTAGACAGGGTCTAAGCAGAGACATCACCTTGCCAACAAAGGTCTGGAGGAGACTCTTGAGAGTCCCATGGACTGCAAGAAGATCAAACCTATCCATTCTGAAGGAAATCAGCCCTGAGTGCTCACTGGAAGGACAGATCATGAAGCTGAGGCTCCAAGAAGCTGAGGCGGGAAGGTAAGCGGCGTTTCCGTGCGCTGCTCTGGTTCTCCAGAAGCAGCTTAGTCATGCTGGCCACATGACCCGGAAGCTGTACACTGGCTCCCTCGGCCAATAAAGCGAGATGAGCGCCGCAACCCCAGAGTCGGTCACGACTGGACCTAATGGTCAGGGGTCCCTTTTTGTTGTTGTTTAGTCATTTAGTCGTGTCCGACTCTTCGTGACCCCATGGACCAGAGCATGCCAGGCACTCCTGTCTTCCACTGCCTCCCGCAGTTTGGTCAAACTTATGCTGATGCTGGTAGCTTCGAGAACACTGTCCAACCATCTCGTCCTCTGTCGTCCCCTTCTCCTTGTGTCCTCCATCTTTCCCAGCATCAGGGTCATTTCCAGGGAGTCTTCTCTTCTCATGAGGTGGCCAAAGTATTGGAGACTCACCTTCATGATCTGTCCTTCCAGTGAGCACTCAGGGCTGATTTCCTTCAGAATGGATAGGTTTGATCTTCTTGCAGTCCATGGGACTCTCAAGAGTCTCCTCCAGCACCAGAATTCAAAAGCATCAATTCTTCGGCGATCAGCCTTCTTTATGGTCCAGCTTTCACTTCCATACACAGAAATGTTAATAGTCCACCATAGGCATTTGTTTCATTTTGTTTCACACCCTGCAATTATGCCATGGAGATGACTTAATCTGAAGCAACTGACTGAACTGACTGAACCTGACTGAACCTGGCTAAGATGACTGAAATGTATTCATCTAAACAAAACTTTTTGCGCTATAGTCCCTTCCAGGAGGAAAATATAACAAGATTGCATTTCATGTGTTAAATATGCTGGTGCAGCAGAAGCAATAAATAAACTAATTTGTGCAAGTGAATCCTCTTTAGCATTCACTGCTCAGCCCCTAAATGGAGAAATGTCTCATCTCAAAGAAATAATCAGCGCTGGGGGGTGATCATAAACAAACTAGAGGGGTGGCAATACATGGCCATGCAAGGTTTCAGGGTGGTCTTCAACAAGTTTTACTCAGAGTAGACCTGATTTGGGCTTGCAGCATTTGAAGAAGCATGCATGGTACTGGACTCTTGACATATATAACACAAAGGAAGGAAGCTCAGAGTACATCATCGACATTTAAAGTCAGTTCCAGCTGAAATGTTAGGT